TAGAAAATCGATTGTTCAACGTCTAAAATTGTAATTAAGAATTGAGTGAACAATTACAAAGCTACAACCGAATGCATGTTAAAAATTTGTGTCGATTATCTTGCTATTTAACGGCTCAATGAACGCTAATGGTGTTTCTACCATTTTCTGGTTTCCGGGAGGAGCGTGTTCAATAATCACGACAATTACCTGATAAGTAAATTGACAGCGTTGCACGCGAGGGCACAGGAATTGCTAGCGCAAGTTTGTGGATCCCGAGTACTCTCAGGATTTCTCTTATTAAGGAATTAGTGAGCGTGTTTAACAGGGGGAAGTACGGAGCAACTTCACAGTCAGCATGGTTTCCGGCTAACTGCCCTACTCAGATAAGTCGAAACGTAGGAAACTCCTATGGAGATATGGTTAAGTCGACGGGATTTAGCTTCCGCGCAGTCTGGAATTATCGAATCGTCGTATTTGCTACTTTATATTTCGAAAACTACAGTTCTTGGGACCTGGAGACGTCCAATGCAAATATTATCAAAACAGAGCGACACCTAAATGCAATAACATTTTAATCCCTGGGATAACTTACGTATAATTCATCTGTGCTCCAGCTACGACCAAGTAAATAACGTGAAACAAAAAAGGCACTAGTTTATCTGACAAATATCGATTATTACTAACTCTAGATAAAATTTGTGCGAAACAGAAAAGTTTCCAAATTTAATTTGCAACCACTTTTGTTACACATGTTCTTGCTATAAAAGCAACGGTAAAGGAGGTATCGTAAACTATATGGTTGACACTCCCATAACTCCCCTTTATGATAGAAATTTTGTGACGTCGAGTGGGTTAAATTTTAATTCGAATCACACTTTGGTTATGCTAAAAGTTTCATTGCAATTGGTTTAGCAAATTTTTCGCGATGCAACAATAAACAGACAATTAAAACTATATTTTGTTAATAGAGATTACGGTTAAAAATTAAATGGAAATATTACGAGCACGTGAAATTAACAATTATTTTTCAAAATAAGTTACATTTAATAATAAGTTGCTCCAATTCAGTCGATTAAACCATGGCCTTTATTTCCTCAAACTCTGTTGTTTATAATATTCTTTTACTTCCTCCCTTTAAATCGATCACATTATTTTAGTATTGCACGAAGGGACAGTTATTAACGAGGGAGAATGAGATTTCACTTTTGAACGTAACTAATCAATTGCAGAACAACCAACGAGTCCAATTTTTAAAAAGAAGGTCCAAACAATTCGCGTTTTTCGCCGAAAATATGCTTGAATGTTCAATAATTTTTTTTTTCACAGACATCGATATATTTGTTTCACAAAAGTCGCCCGACGTATTACGTCGAAGGTCCAATGACTTGCTGAAAGCTCTCGCCTCTCCGGAGAAGATGAAATGTTCGTCTGCGCCCCTCTCATTTTCCTCTGGCCCTATCTCGGTTTTCGATTATAGAATCCATATAACCGGCTCTGGAATTGACGAAGGCGAGCTTTTTCTGCTGCCTCATGTAAATCGATAGTACATCGTCGAAAATTGCAAAAAGAATCACCGACGTCGCGGCCAAAGGGAGAAAGAAAAATGCCTGCGTGACCGAGAACGATAGAACGAGACGGCGGACCGGGGGAAACAAAAGAACTAGACGGTACGAGGAACGAATTAAAATCGTCAAGGGAAGAGCGAAGGGACCAGGAATGAAAAACATAAAGCTTGGAGAAGGTTCGTTTGCACGCAAGAAAACGAAGAGAAAAATGCGGACGTATAAATAAGGAAGACTTTACAACGACCGGGAAACAAAAAGACCGTATCGCGAAAAAGCGAAGACAGGGAAAAGAGAAAAGTTCCAAGGGAATAAAATATATAACGAAGAAGTTTTTACGGAGGAATCACGAACAATGGATACAATCGTGACAAATATTGTTGTAAAGCAGAGGATCCTATTTTATACATTTCGTGGAAGTTAGGCATTTTCGAGCAATTAACACTAGATTAAATCTAAACAAACGCGAGAGGGCATTTGCGTTGTAGATTACCACGCGTTGATCGTAATCTGCAACGCAAATGTCTTTATCTCCTATTTAGATTTGATCTTCTGTTAATTGCCTAGACAGGGGTAGTTCCTACTCGTCGCGCGATACTATAAAATTAACTTTTCCTCAAAGTTACCTCGTGTAAGTCAGAATTAATGCAAAAATGTTCAAATCAAATACCAGAAAGTTAATGTATCTGCTGAAAGTTTACTCGAAATAAATCTCTCGAAAACGCTTACGTTCCAAATTAAAAAAATTAGTAGCGAAGTCTCAAGCTTCGAGTTTCGATTCGCAACTTTGGAGGCGTTACCGTGCTGTGGAAAGACCGAGTAAACTATGAAAGGGGAACTGCGAAGTCAGATGACGTAAAAATTGACGTGACTATCGACTCTAACGGGAAACTGAACGTTTCGAAACAAACGATCGCAGATATTTCGCCCGAGCATCGCCCTTCGTCGGGTCCATCGTTTTCTGCCCTCACACCACACCCGAGCCACATTCTCGTCCGTTTTCGCTGCTCGCAGCTCGCCGAAGCAGGCGGAGAAACGTAGATAAAGGTTTTAATTCCGTGCGAATGGATCAACGCGCGAAAATCGGAAGGGAGGATCGACCGGGAGGTCGAAGCCTGAAGGGAGGTCCGATTGATGGACCGGTTCGAACAATGGTTAACTTCGGAAGTAATCGCTTAATTCCTGAATTCCAGGCTATGTCCAGCCGATTTCCGATTGAACTGTCTTCCGGGAGGGGCTTTTTAATCCTGTTGATCGAATCGATCGTGTGCGGGGCTGTTTTTGCTGCTGCAACGAAAGCCAAACTCGATCTTCCTAATAATAAACTGGGATCGATTTACGTAACATTCCTTATGGGATCATTGTGGATTTGCTCCACCCACGTTTCAATGACAATTGTTCAACTGTTAACTGGGTACAAGGTTTTATCGAAAGTCTTATGAACTATTGGGGAGGTGGAGACACTATCCATAAACTAGGGGAGGAGGAAAGGGGAGGCGTTTCTCGTCCTGGACCTTCTTTTTCTATAACATGTGTTTATTAAAAATTTACGAGATATATGCAAACAACAGAGAATTCTTAAACGTATAGAAATAAGGAAGACCTGGGCCTCACACGCTGCGGCATTGAAAGGTCGATCGAGGAGTGTATACAGGGTGTTCGGCCACCCCTGGGAAAAATTTTAATGGAAGATTTTGGAGGCCAAAATAAGATGAAAATCAGGGATTTGTTGATTGCGGCTTCGTTAAAAAGTTATAGAAACATTTCCGGTTACACATAATATTTTTGATAAAGAATTTTTTTCTCGAAAGTATATAGGATTTCGGGGGTATGTTTATTCACCAACAATGATTGTAATTGACCCCTGTAATTGAAAATAATTTTTCCAAGCCGATTTGAAATTGTTTCATTTTGTCGACTTTGTCCACCTACTCGAATTTTTTTCTCGAAAGTGCATAGAAATTCGTGGGTATGTATATTCACCAAAAATGATTGTAATTGACCCCTGTAACTAAAAATAATTTTTCCAAAACGATTTGAAATTGTTTCATTTTGTCGACTTTCTCCACATGCTCTAATTTTTTTTTCGAAAGTGCGTAGATTTTCGGGGTTATGTGTATTCACCAAAAGTGATTGTAATTGACCCCTGTAACTGAAAATAATTTTTCCAAAACGATTTGAAGTTTTTTAATTTTGTCGACTTTGTCCACCTACTCGAATTTTTTTCTCGTAAGTGCGTAGGAATTCGAGGATATGTGTATTGACCAAAAACGACTGTAATTGTGCCCTGCAACCGAAAATAATTTTCCCGTGAATGATTTGAAACTTTTTAATTTAATTTTTTAATAACTTTTTAACGAAGCCTCAAATTGATATTCTCGATTTTCGTCTTATTTTGGTCTCTAAATTCTCCCATTAAAATTTATCCCAGGGGTGGTCGAACACGCTTTATATAGGAATAGTGCTCAAGCACTTGTGAGAGACAAAATTCGAAATATTCTTGAACGTGATAAAATTTATATTCAACGTAGATTATAAATAATTTTGGAAACTGAATTTAGAAGGAGGTTAATAGTGAATTTATTAAACCTCGTTTTCTATTTTCGACGAAGTATCGAAAGACGAAGTTATCTTTACTCACGAGCAGAGTAATTGCGTGGATTTTCACGATCGTTCGCATATGTCGACTGTCTTTTCTTTCGTTTATTTCTCCCCGGACTTCGCCATCCGACGATATAAAAGTAGCCACGAAATAAGGCGAAAGAAAGCAAACAATGCCCCGCGGCACGCCGAATGACTCACTTTGTTGCTTTCACTGCGAAACTTTCCTCGTGGAGGTACTTTTAAGGAAGTTTCGAAGAACAGTAACGGCAATCATTGTCGGTGGAACGGGCGATTTGTTCTTGTTCGCTCGGTCTGGAACTTGCTGCTTTTTCCGTCGCGCGGCGTTATAGTTGAAAGCGTGACGAAATTTTTACGAGACGGTTTTGTGCCGCGACCCGGCCACGTTTCTTGCCCCACCCTCCCCTCCCGAGAAAATCTTTTCGAGCGATTAAAATTTCCCATCGAACGCTAGACACTCGAGGCTATTCTTGAACTTGAACGTCCAAACGTATTGCAGAGCTTAACGATTCAATTTCTCACACAACTATATTAAAACAATACAAAACTTACTAAGAGAAAAATTTATTTTCTTCTGCTCACGTAAAAATATTTAAACAGTTTATTACGATTGCTAGAAGTATTCAAATTTAAAAAAAATAAATTATATAAGACACTACAACGTCTCTCGAGAATTATTAATTTTCTTCCAAGGAAATATTGAAATATACGACGATCGTAATTAAAATTCCATCGCTGATATGGAAGATTTTTAATTCTCTGTATGTACAACAACTTCCTTTTATTAAATCTAGAGTATTATATTTTTAATAGAATTTTAATAGTATTCCTTACGTGTTCTGTATTTAAAGCAGCACCGTCACGAATATCTTGATGATCGGCACCGGAACCATTGACCATACCAGAACCGGCGCCAGCACTTCCGCTTCCTTTTCCACCGACACCGCCAGCTGGAGTTTGTGGCAAGCTCTGGAAAATAGAGGAATAACGTCAGAATAATTTATCGAGCCATAAGAAACAAACATCACGGTATATTACATCTCGTAAAATTTTTTGTTAGCTTATGATTCAATTAATTTGAAGCACATCTGTTAAACAAACACGGTCAGAACTTCCGGACGCTCCATTACTCGTAATAACATCTATGTTATTTTCCAATGATGGAGAATAATAAATACTGGTGAAACGAATGAAAAATAATCCTTGAAATATTTTTGACCGTTTAATTTCATATCGAACAATAATACCGTGTTTGAGAAACGTTTATATAAAAAACGGGGAAAAATACCGAAGGTATCTGAAGTCTCAAAGACATTTTCGTATATCTACTTTCTGATATTTTCATAACGCGAAGTACAAAAATAAATTGTCCTTTCGTCCGCCTCTTTTTACGATTTTTCCCGTCCCTGGAAAAACTAATTACCGGCTTGAACGTGATTTGTAAGACTACAGAAGAAAGAAAATAAGAACGAATACGAATATCGCCGGGATTAAGCAGAGCAATTTAACGCTATGAATCACAAGGACAAAGAAACGTACAAGAAAGCCACACGGTGTTATTTATTCGACTTGTTTTGCCGCAGAATCCTCGCGTTGGATTCCTGCCTCAATATTCCTTCCCGAACGTATCGTCTTTTTCGTTCAACAGCTTTCCTCCGATTCTTTCGCAGCGTATTGCACACACGAGATTTCTTCTTCTTCCAGAGAGCACGCTTTTATGAGGAGGATTAGGTGGCGCGAAGATGACCGTAAAGGGAAATTTTGTTGATCGTGTTTGCTCGATTTCACCACCAGCGAGATAGACGCAATAACAAATAGTGTACACTGCTGTTTCAACTTTTAGTTTCTATATTTTGTATTAATTCTGTCACGACTGAAAGTTTTAGATCTGCACGAGGAAAACTTTGTGAAAAGTTATGACATCGTTCGTAGAAAGAAAATTTATGCTCGCTTCAGAGCCTCGGCGGTAAAAGTTCTTCGATTTTTTTACGTCGTTCCGTAACTTGTACAGAAAAATGACGCGATTTCTTAAATCTCTCTGAGAGTAAGCTTAGTCTTAATTTCACCTATGAAGATATATCATAATTTCCAGGCCACCGATGCCTCGACTTTGTTGACTCAAAAAAAATTCTTCTATCAGTTATTTCATGCAAGATCGTCAGATTCACTACATTTTGGAATTATTTAACGAAAAAAATAGTTTGATACATTCGTCTGCTTAAACGTACTTCGTGCTCGGAACGATAATTACTTTTCCTAAATAAATACAAAGAGGCGAACGAATTTTGAACATTGTTTGAAGAGCAGATGGGTTCCGTCAGTAGCAAAGTTGAAGTACGAAGTTCATTATCATTATAATCAACGATCTCAAATATTTAAACTTATTTTATATTAGCTGCGGTATCTTCTTCGACTCTAAAATAGGATCAAGATAAAATTTCCAAAAGAACGTGATAATAACTTGTGATGTGTTTCGCGTATAAAAATTCCCTCGAAATGAAATATTTACATTTTGTCAATAAATTACAGCTTCCCCTAACAAGCGTCGAAAATTCAAAGCGAGAAATTCGAATGAAAAACGTAGAGAGAGCTGGAAAATTCCACGACCAGGCTTGCCCACGCATAATTCCGACAACGTTGTCATCGTCATCGATGAATCCGCGTAAAACTTCCTGTTTATCATTATCCTCGCTCAATTACGAGCACACGCGCAACGTGTTGCGAGTTCTGGCAAAGCTCACCGCGGTGAAATTTATGCGAACGATCCGAGTCGGTGGCCGGGTTACCATTATAACGCAGCGCCACTAGGGGGATGCAATTTTGAAGGCAATTTAACTTGAACCGCAGCAGCAAGCGTAAGCTATGGGCAAATGTTTACCATGAAAATCGTTATAATCGTTCCGGAAGCTTCTGGTCCGAGAACCTTTTCTCGGAGGAACGAGGGGAACCTGCATGTCCCTATACCCTGTTCCACCACCAATGTTCTCAACCATCCCCGTCATACTTCTATTCCACATCTTATCTTTTTTCCAAGAGTTTGTGTACCTTAACAAGGTAAATCTTGTAAGACGTACTGCTTTAGTTCCGTGTAATATGTTAATTTCTCTGTCAATATTCATGTTTCTCGCGTCGAATACGGAACCAAACTTATATACGCGACACCAGTTTAAGGGGAACAGTTTTAACACTATTCGAACTAAATTTTAGGCTATCACGTCACTCATATAGGAGTAAAAGATTAATTCTCAAAATAGGATTCTTGAATTTTCGTTTTCGTGGACAATTTGAGGGGTCTGGCGTGCCAGTCAACGCGTTAATGGAAACAATTAACGAGAAACAAGCTTCCTAGCAAACTATAGCGACAAAGTTCCAATCCGACGAGCGAGTTTGCCGGAAATCTAGTATTTATTACGATATCAGCGAATTTCACACGCACGGTGAGCCTTTTCTCGTCGCCTCCACCTTCTACCACCTTCCTTCGACCACCCACTCTGCTCGACACAGAGTAAACGTGTGTGTGCTCTGTTCTTTGCGCTCGAAATCTAACGACGACGCAGATCATAACGGATATTTCAGTTCAATTCGCTTCAACTGCGACACAGTCGCTCTTTGTAGAGGGGTTGGAAACGCTAGGAGGAAAATTCTACGACGAATGGACGTTTCTATAGTGACCGGGCGATGGTCACTGTGCGTGGTGCTAATTAATACTGCGCGGTATAGCAGAACTCGTTGGGTGCAAAGCTTTATCAGAGGCGACTTCGACTATAGAGTGGTTTTAGCCAGCGTGAAATATAAAGCAGACTTAGAAGCCAAGGTAAATATAGTTACAGATGGCTACCTTCGACCCTTTCAGCAACCCAGCAGCAGTTGAACCATGTGGTAGGAGTTAACCCTTCCAATAGGTTCTAGGAATCGGTTGAATCTGATTCCACTGTAGCACGTCGCTGGTTGACAGAACCGTTCATTCGCCTATCTCATGTCAAGATCCCTATTCGATCCTTAGGAAAGCCATACACTCTACGAAACTCAAACACCGTCTATTTGTCTTCGTACTATCCTTGCACGTACACCCTGACAACAAATATGAGCTACCTTAGCTTCACCAGCAATCGAATCGTTTCCATTGATGTCATAATTATGCGCTATCGATCTCAGACAGTCGGTTGACATTTGCAAACTACTCTTCGTTTAATAAGAGTGTAGAGAAAAATTAATCCAACCTCGAGGACAACAAAAGGAGGAAGTAATAAGGCCTTCGGAAGATAAATGACTGTTTCTAGATTTCTAAGAAGCCCTAACTCACTGTCTCTTCTGATATGTTTGGAAATCTGCGCTCAGGTCGCCATCGTACATGCTTACTACACCTACCAACGCACGCATGGCGAGATTACGCGTATTAACGCTCCTTCTGGCTGTTCGATTATCGATCGAGGTGGGTCGTGTTCGAGACCACCTCCTCGTTGAATTTCACCGGTTGGTTGGCACCTTCGAAAACCTACGACCTACCCCGTGCACGAGGACGCCGAACAGACGGATTAAAAGAGATTTCTCCGTTCTCGTTCCTGCCTTACAGGCTGAGTCGAGTGTCTGGCGGGGCCTAAAATTTTATTTCGAGTACCCAGAGTCTCATTCGATATCGAGAAAATCGAATATTGAGAAATTGTAACAATCTGCATTGGAATAAATCATTGTTGCTTAATGCACGTTGACTTTTTTAACAATAAACCTACCACGACCGATTTTAAAAATTTTCTTTTATAAGTTCTAACATAGAATGTTACTTTAGCGCCATTTAACTCCACGACTCTTAAATATTCACTTCTTAACACCGTTTAATCCTCTCATCGAAATCGTTCGATACGCAAACAAAATTAAATCTGTAAACGCGAACGTAAAATATTCGCGTTTAAATAAAAAATGGTATTTTGACTCCGCGAATAGTTTCCGTTTCATCGAATGGAAACCTTCATTCCTATCGGTTATAAAATATTTATGACGCAGTCAAGATAAAGAAGCGAGAAGCGAGCGTGCAGAGCGAGAAATAAACCGCGATGCCAAAGGTAACAAAAGGAAAGAATTATGATCTAAACGATCGATCACCCCGCACCCCTTTCACAGCCTTATCTCTTGTTCGTTTCACTCGGGTAGAAAGCACGAGCTGCTTTGTAATTATAAATCTCATTAAAATTCATAACGCGACACGGAAAGTCATTAGCCTTAAGCGTCCTGCGTTGTTGCACCTTCGAGACACTGTGCGGCGATCAAACGACCTCGGTGAAAAATAATTTAAACTTCGCGATTCTGCAGCGTCGTGACGCTATGTATTTTTAATAATAATAATCACCGGGAACCGCGCTGAAATCGAATGGAAATTTCAGAGGCGTCGAACCTGGCACGGGAGCCGTATAATTACGAACTTTTCCGCAACGTGACATTGAAATTTCCTTACCGATGTCAAGCTAAAATCTGTTGCGCATAGTTTGACGATTAAATTTACACTTTTTTTTACTCGACGATTTTTCCAGCTCGTTCGGTACTCTCTTTATTCGTAATTTACACTGTTTTATGGCGAGTCAGGTACCGCAGGACACATCTAAGCACCAAGCACGGCACCAGACGAGGGAAAATTATTAAAAATAACCGTTACATGCCACCTCCCACCGATCAACTTCGCCTCCAAACTGATTGGCCAGTATACTGGCAATTTTTGATCAATCTAAGACCGATACTGCCTCCCATGGCCTGGTTAGCTTCTTGGACAACCTTGGCCCAGAGACCAGATCAAAATTGACTCTTAAACACCACTCATCAATAGTATATTCAAGAATTTGTACATTTCGGCTAACCAACGTAGAATAAATTGTTATTGGTTGTCACAAGATTCCACTGATTGTGATTCAAGTATTTACCTTCCGAAAGTTTCTCAAAGCACATCAGAAAGTTTCTTTCACCAAATTTAAATTATTTTG